AAAATACTCAATACATCTCTGCTTTTAATTTATTTATTTATTTATTTCGAGGTTTTATATACTGACCCTCTCACCTTCAAAGAGGGATTCGGACCGGTTCACAACATGTGTTAACATACAAAAAATATACAATAACTACACAATGCCACTTCATTACATGATTAAAATATCAGCACCATATACATTAAAACATTATCATTAGTACCCCCAAATTTGACTACTGGTGGGGTTGGGGGGTTGATTTTGTCATTTGGGAGTTATAGTTGCTGGGATTTATAGTTCACCTATAATCAAAGAGCATTCTGAACTCCACCAATGATGGAATTGAACCAAACTTGACACACAGAACTCCTATGACCAACAGAAAATACCGTAAGGGTCTGGTGGGCATTGACCTTGAATTTGGGAGTTGTAGCTCACCTACACCCAGAGAGCATTGTGGACTCAAACAATGATGCATCCGGACCAAACATGGCATGAATACTCAGTATGCCCAAATGTGAACACTGGTGGAGTGTGGGGAAAATAAACCTTGACATTTGGGAGTTGTAGTTCCTACAATCAAAGATCATTCTGAACCGCACCAATTATAGAATTGGGCCAAGCTTCCTACACAGAAACCCCCATGACCAACAGAAAACACTGTGTTTTCTGATGGTCTTTGGTGACCTCTCTGACACCCCTTTGCGACCCCCACTGGGTTAAATCCTTGTGCTGGCAGAACTGAAGGCTGGACAGATAGGAGGTTCGAATCCGGGGAGAGCACGGATGAGCTCCCTCTGTCAGCTCCAGCTCCCTATGTGGGGACATGAGAGAAGCTTCCCACAAGGATGGTAAAACATCAAAACATCCAGGCATCGCCTGGGCAACATCCTTGAGAAGGCCAATTCTCTCACACCAGAAGCGACTTGCAGTTTCTCAAGTGGCTATTTATTTATCGTGTCAGGAGCAAACCAAACAGTTGTATTGCATTTTTTAACAAACAAACGAACAAAAAACAAAGTTTGCAAGCTTGGTAGTTGATTAAATGTCCTTTGACCAGTAGCTGGCCACTTGGAATGCCTCTGGTGTTGCCGCAAGAAGGTCCTCCATTGTGCATGTGGCAGGGCTCAGGGTGCATTGCAGCAGGTGGTCAGTGGTTTGCTCTTCTCCACACTCGCATGCCGAGGATTCCACTTTGTAGCCCCATTTCTCAAGGTTGGCTCTGCATCTCGTGGTGCCAGAGCGCAGTCTGTTCAGCGCCTTCCAAGTCGCCCAGTTTTCTGTGGCCCAGGGGGGAGTCTCTCATTTGGTTTGAGCCTGCCACTTTTGGACTCTCACTTGCTGAGGTGTTCCAGCGAGTGTCTCTATAGATCTTAGAAAACTATTTCTTGATTTAAGTGGTTGACATGCTGGCTGATACCCAAACAAGGGATGAGCTGGAGATGTCACTGCCTTGGTCCTTTCACTATTGGCTGCTACTTCCCGGAAGATGTTAGATGGTGCAATACAGGCTAAACAATCTAATTTCTCCAGTGGTGTAGGGCGCAGACACCCCATGATAATGCGGCATGTCTCATTAAGAGCCACATCTACTGTTTCAGTGGGGTGAGATGTGTTCCACACTGGGCATGCGTACTCAGCAGCAGAGTAGCATAGCGCAAGGGCAGATGTCTTCACTGTGTCTGGTTGTGATTCCCAGGTTGTGCCAGTCAGCTTTCGTATGATATTATTTCTAGCGCCCACTTTTTGCTTGATATTCAGGCAGTGCTTCTTGTAGGTCAGAGCACGGTCCAGAGTGACTCCCAGGTATTTAGGTGTGCTGCAATGCTCCAGTGGGATTCCTTCCCAGGTAATCCTCAGAGCTCAGGGTGCTTGTCTGTTCTTAAGGTGAAAAGCACATGTCTGTGTTTTAGATGGATTAGTGATCAGCTGGTTTTCCCTTTAGTAGGTGGTAAGGGCACCTAGAGCTTCAGAGAGCTTCTGTTCAACCATCTCAAAACTCCCTGCTTGAGCAGTAATGGCACGATCATCAGCATAGATGAAGCTCTCTGTCCCTTCTGGCAGTGGCTGGTCATTTGTATAGATGTTGAACATGGATGGAGCAAGGACACTCCCCTGAGGCAGACCGTTCTTCTGTTTCCACCATCTGCTTCTCTGGCCCTGGAACTCAACAAAAAAGCTCCTGTTTTGTAGCAGGTTTCCTATGAGATGGGTGAGGTGGTAGTCCTTTGTGATATTATACATTTTTCTCAGGAGGAGGTGGTTTACATAAGCTGCTGGCAGGTCTGTGAAGACAGCTCCTGTGATCTGCTGCCTTTCAAAGCCATCTTCTATGTGCTGAGTCAGGTTCAGCACTTGCGATGTGCAGCTTTTGCCTTTCCTGAAGCCAGCTTGCTGTGGAATCAGATATGGGTCTATTTTTTCCATAATTCTATGCAAAATAAGTCTCTCCAGAACTTTGTAGAGGTGGCACAACAGGGAGATTGGTCTGTAGCTTTTTGGATCATTAAGTCGCTACTGACACGGAAAAAAAATAGCCTCAGCGGGTATTAGGGGTACTGATAAGAGCTGTCAAGTAGCCGGATCCCTGTTGTCCTTCCTGTGATAAAGCAGGCCATTCACATGTGTGCTTGCTTCCTCGTTTTGCTCGGTATCCCCAAAGCAAGGACGAAATATCCACCTCTCGAAAACAAAGCTGTTTTTTCAACACCCAGGCCAGCAGTCAGCAAAAGAAGAAGAGATTCGCTGTGCCTCTCGATTGCCTGCGCCTTTTACTTACTTAGACGGATTACTCTACTCGTTGTCAGAGTAGGATAGTTTTCCAAGATCAGTGTACTGGCGGTGGGTACGTAAGTGACTGTGGAACCCTATTCTTGACCTGCATCTTCTCCTGCAGTGAGGGCATTGGTTTCCAGGTGGAAGGCGGTCTGGTCGGGTTGGCTTGACGCAGGCCTGTAGTGGGGGGGGGGGGGGGTCAGGGTTTCACCCCCCCCCCCAAATTTTCAGATTAAAAAAACCTGGTTTACTCATGAATTTTAACTGGTTAACCAAATCCCCATGCTAAGTCTATGAGATGCAAAAAATTAGAGTCCCTCCAGAGCCCCCCCCCCCCCCGACGCAATGGGTTAAACCAATGGTTCTCAACCAGGCCTGTAGCGAGGGGGTGGTTTTAGGGGTTCAACCCCCCCCCCCCGAAATGTTTCAGATTTTTTAAACAAACCTGGTTTATTCATGAATTTTAACTGGTTAACCAAATCCCCATGCTAAGTCTATGAGATGCAAAAAATTAAGAGTCCCTCCAGAACTGCAAGCACTATCTCAAGCAAATATTGACAATTTATTCACACTGTCATTACTTGCAGCAATAGCCGATGTAGCAAAGCAACCAAGTTGGGGGGGGGGGGGGGGTTGAATGCTCTCATTAAGGAGGCCAGACTTGGTGGAGGTGGTTGACAGGGGCGGAGCTGCAGGCTATTGAAAGCTGCTCTGCCTCCTGCTGTACTCTTTGCTTTGGCGTGAGCAACCCTTTGGGGAGGGTTGAAAATTTCGGGGAGGGTTGAAAATTTCGGGGAGGGTTGAAAATTTGGGGGGGGGTTGAAACCTGCCTCCTAGCTCACGCTGAAGCAAAGAGCACAGCAGGGGGCAGAGCAGCCTTCAATAGCCTGCAGCTCCACCCCTGTCAACCACCTCCACCAAGTCTGGTCTCCTTCATGAGGGCCTTCAAATCTAACCCCCCCCCCAACTTGGTTGCTTCGCTACATCGGCTATTGCTGCAAGTAATGACAGTGTGAATAAATTGTCAATATTTGCTTGAGATAGTGCTTGCAGTTCTGGAGGGACTCTTAATTTTTTGCGTCTCATAGACTTAGCATGGGGATTTGGTTAACCAGTTAAAATTCATGAGTAAACCAGGTTTGTTTAAAAAATCTGAAACATTTCAGGGGGGGGTTGAACCCCCAAACCACCACCACCCCCCTCGCTACAGGCCTGGGGGGGGGGTGTTGAATACTCTCATTAAGGAGGCCAGACTTGGTGGAGGTGGTTGACAGGGGCAGAGCTGCAGGCTATTGAAGGCTGCTCTGCCCCCTGCTGTGCTCTTTGCTTCAGCGTGAGCTAGGAGGCATGTTTCAACCCCCCCCTCAAGATTTTCAACACCCCCACCCTCGAAATTTTCAACCCTCCCCAAAATGTTTTTCTGGCTACCGCCCTGGCTTGACACACCTTCCTCTTGGCACGTTTCTCTCTTTTGCTCCATTCGTGCCTCTTCAAATTCTACAGCACTGCTGGTCACAGCTGACCTCCAACTGGAGCGCTCAAGGGCCAGGGCTTCCCAGTTCTCAGTGTCTATGCCAGAGTTTTAAAGTTGGCTTTGAGCCCATCTTTAAATCAAGGATTTTGGGCGGGGGGGGGGGGGTTGAGGGATGATGGGAAAAAAATCCTTTTAAAAAATACTCTACAAAAAGGAAGTATAATATTCAGAGTTCCTGGTTCCTGATAGGAAGAGATACACATTTTAATAATTGTGCGATGAGAAACTGCAAAGTACACATTGCAAATCAAAATAAATAAAAAAAAGGTTGTCCCCTGACATTAAGTCTAGTCATGTATGACTCCGGGGTGTGGTGCTCATCTCCATTTCTCAGCCGAAGAGCCAGCGTTGTCCATAGACACCTCCAAGATCAAAATACTTGGAGTTACAAAAACCCTTCCTCTGTGCTGGAGCTCCTTTCAACAGTTGAGTCTTTTCAAAGCCTCGCCGGTCGCGCCTTCCTCTCTCATTTGGAACTGAGTCGGAGGGATGGCTACGGAGGCAGCAGCTCGTTAATTAATTTCTAATTAAAAGTGTTGAACCCCCTCCTCCCTTCTTCGCTTCTTCTGCGCCTGCGCAAGGCAGACCTCTCCTCAGGGAACGCTTTCCTGTGGAGGAATGTGGGTCCAAACCTTTTTTTGGTCTGATGAATGTTTTCCGGGGAGAGAGAATGGCAGGCTCAAACCCATGAATTTTGGTTGTGTTTCAGCCCCTCGGACGCTCGAGAGGAGGGCTGAGCGGACCCCGACGCCGCTCCTGATCGCTCCTGGAACCTGGGATCCCCCCCGTTGCCATGTCCTACCCCCAGTTCGGATACCCCTACTCATCGGCACCCCAGGTAAGAAGCTCTGCCGTCGGGATTGAGTCGTTTCCACGCTTTTCCCTTCCTTCCTTCCTTCTCTCCTTCTAGCCCAAGTCGATCCCTCTCTATGAGCAAATAAATGGGTTTGCAGGAACTGAATCTATTGGAAGTGTTTGTGGGGTGGCTGATTCCCATCAAAGGACCACCTTCTCCACTTTGGGTGGCAGAGGGCAAGCAAAGAGAAAAAGAAGGGGGGAAAACCCCACCTTAAAGAGCTTAGCTTCCTTCCCATTGCAGGATTCAGGACAAGAACTGCCCAGGCTGGTGGTTGTTTATTTGTTCAGTGGCTTCTTCCTGACCTCATGGAGCAGCCCACACCAGAGCTCCCTGTCGACCGTCGCCACCCCCAGCTCCTTCAGGGTCAAGCCAGTCTCTTGAGGCTTATTGGGAAACCATCATGTTTTGCAGCTTTCTCTACTGTCAATATGGAAATAGGGTCTGTATTAAACATCCAAGAGAAAGTGCCTCATGAGCAAACTATCTTCCTCTCTCACAAGCCACCCACACTGAATGTTTTTCCCCTCTTTATATTTTTGGCTAGACACAATTACCGCTTGTATCTGGTCACGATTCATTCCAGGACTCATGGGATCAGTAAATTTGTTGTTGTTCATTCGTTCAGTCACTTCCCACTCTTCTTGACCTCATGGTCTAGCCCATACCAGAGCTCCTGTCGGCCGTCATCACCCCCAGCTCCTTCAAGGTCAATCCAGTCACTTCAAGGATGCCATCCTGCCATCTTGCCCTTGGTCGGCCTCTCTTCCTTTTGCCTTCCTTTTTCCCCAGCATCATTGTCTTCTCTAAGCTTTCCTGTCCTCTCATTATGTGCCCAAAATACTTCATCTTTGCCTCTAATATCCTTCCCTCCAAGGATATTAGAGGCAAAGATGAAGCACTTTGGGCCAGGGGTTGGATGCAATGGAATTGTAAGATTTGTCCTTTTTCAGGGGCCTTAGCTTTCTCTGGGCTCTTCCACGCTGTCTTTTATCCCAGGATCTGATCCCATATGGTCATGTTTTGCAGCTTTTTCTACTGTCAATATGGAAATAGGGAATATATGAGTCCCTGCTACAAGATAACCTGGGACAAACAGATAATCTGGGATCAGATCCTGGGATATAGGGGCTGAATAAAATTATTATTATATACTCTATTTTCTATTGGAACATAATTTAGACTCCTATAATCCACATTATCTGCTTTGAACTGGATTATATGAGTCTACACTGCCATATAATCCAGTTTATAGTTTCCTTTCACCCACAGCAGTAGAAAATCCCCATTACCTGCTTTGAACTGGGTTATATGGCAGTGTGGACTCAGAGAACTCAGTTCAAAGCAGATCTGGTGGGTTACCTGACTTGATATTCTGGGGCCCCTTCCTGTTGGTGGGCAGGAAAAGAGATTTAAAGATGGGCTGAAAGCCGAAAACTCTGGCATAGACACTGAGAACTGGGAAGCCCTGGCCCTTGAGCATTCCAGCTAGAGGTCGGCTGTGACCAGCAGTGCTGTAGAATTTGAAGAGGCACGAATGGAGGGCAAAGGAGAGAAACCTGCCAAGAGGGACGGGGGAATACCTTCCACCTGGAAACCAATGCCCTCACTGCCGGAGAACCAGCAGATCAAGAATAGGGCCGCACCCCCAGTTCCTTCAGTCAATCCAGTCACTTCAAGGATACCATCCATCCATCTTGCCTTTAGTAGGCCCCTCTTCCTTTTTCCTTCCACTTTCCCCAGCATCATTGTCTTCTCTAATGTATATATGTGTGTATGTATGTGCATATATACACATATATTTTCAGGCTCCTTCTACACTGTCATATAATCCAGATTATCGGACTCCACATTGTCATATAATCCAGTTCAAAACAGAAAACCTGGATTTTATATAGCAGTGTAGAAGGGGCATTGGGTACTACCTGAATCCCAATCAATTCTGTAGAATTAGTACAGTTCGAATCCACCTTAACTACAATGGATGCGTGCTATGGAATTGTGGCTGCACTTGAGCCTGTTCTGCCAAAGAGTCCTCACAAATCTACACATCCCTGGATTCCATAGCCTTGAGCCATAGCACTTCAAGTGGTGTCGAAAGGCAGTGATTTATTTGGCGGTGCAGGTGCCTCCAAAGTTGGCTGGATTGGAGGAGGACGCCTCCCTCTTTGAAGCTGCGCCTCAGTAGTCCTTCTTTTTTTTCTTTCTTTCTGTCTGTCCAGTTCCTGATGACCACCAACTCCTTGACCACGTGCTGCGAGACCAGCGGCCGGAGCCTGACCGATTCGGCGGCAGCGGCGGCCTCTGCGCAGGCGCCGGTCTACTGCCCGGTCTACGAGAGCCGGCTGCTGGCCACGGCCAGGCACGAACTCAACTCGGCCGCCGCCCTGGGGGTCTACGGGAACCCCTACGCCAACAGCCAAGGCTATGGCAACTACGTCACCTACGGGACCGAGGCCTCCGCCTTCTACTCTTTGGTAAGCCGCCAACGCGCAGGCGCAGCATCCCAGCGCTGCTATATACCCCAGACTCAAGACAGGAAGGGGGCAGTCAGGAAAAATGTGACAACATCTTTAAGATTTATGGGCCTCCTTCCACATTTGCTGGTTTGACTTATGCCTTCTCTCGAAGGCAGTGGTTCTCAACCTGTGTGTCCTCAGATGTTTTGGCCTTAATAATATTTATTTATTTATTTAAAACGTTTGTATCCCTATCTTCTCTACCTCAGTAGAGGGCTCGAACCGGCTAACAGCAAGGATTCAATGGTAACAATACAATCTAAAACATCGTACATTAACAATAAATTAAAATACGTATAGACTAAAATAAAGCCAGTTCATCAAGATAAAATCATGTCCCACTCAGTCCGCATATGTGGTCCATAACTTTAGTCAATTGCCAGTCTCCGCCATTATTCTGGGAATGCCTCCTTCCATAGCCAGGATTTCACTAGCTTCCTGAAGGTCAGGAGGGAGGGGGCAGATCTGGTCTCAATTGGGAGAGAGTGCCATAGCCGGGGGGGCCACCACAGAAAAGGCCCTGTTTCTCGTCCCCACCAGACGCGATTGTGAGAGTAGTGGGACCAAGAGCAGGGCCCCTCGAGAAGATCTTAACAGCGTTGATGGTTCATAGGGGAGCATACAACCCCCCTGTTGCGCCAACTCCACTGGCTACCGATCTGCTACCGGACTCAATTCAAAGTGCTGGCGTTGGCCTTTAAAGCCCTAAACGGTTCCGGCCCAAGCTACCTATCCGACCGCATCTCTGCCTATGAACCCACCAGGACTTTGAGATCTTCCGGGGAGGCCCTGCTCTCGATCCCGCCTGCTTCTCAAACACGGCTGGTGGGGACGAGAGATAGGGCCTTCTCGGTGGTGGCTCCTCGGCTGTGGAACGCCCTTCCCACGGACAATAGACTAGCACCATCTCTAATGGTATTCCGCAAAAAAGTGAAGACTTGGCTGTTTGAGCAGGCATTCGAATAATTAGTGCAATGATTGGCTAATGAACACTGGAATGGAACAATGGATGACGAATCTGGAACATGTTTTTGATGATGAGACGACAGTGAATGGGTATTGTAGTAACTGTTTATTAATTGTGTAATGTATTAGGTTGTTAACTGTTTTTATACTGTAGCACTGAATTTTTGCTGTTCATATTTGTTGTGAACCGCTGTGAGTCGCCTTCGGGCTGAGAACAGCGGTATATAAATAAGGTAAATAAATAAATAAATAAATATGTTATGGGATGGAACTATATAGGGTTTTGTAGGTTAAAATCAGCACTTTGAATTGTGCTTGGAAGCTAATTGGCAGCCAGTGGAGCTGGTGCAACAGAGGAGTTGTGCGTTCCCTGTAACCCACTCCTGTTAGTAGCCTGGCTGCCCGAGTGTTGGACTAGTTGCAGCTTCTAGGCAATCTTCATAGGCAACCCCACGTAGAGAGCGTTGCAGTAGTCTATGTGGGATGTAACCAGAGCGTGGACTACCGTGGCCAAGTCAGACTTCCCAAGGTATGGGCGCAGCTGGCACACGAGCTTTAAATGTGCAAAAGCTCTCCTGGACACTGCCGAAACCTGGGGTTCCAGGCTTAGCGATGAGTCCAGGATCACTCCAAAAGCTGCGAACCTGCACCTTCAGGGGGAGTGTAACCCCATCTAGCACAGGTTGCAACCCTATGCCCTGATTGGCCTTGCAACTGACCAGGAGTACCTCTGTCTTGTCTGGATTCAGTTTCAATTTGTTCGCCCTCATCCAGTCCATTACAGCAGCCAAGCACCGGTTCAGGACTTGAACAGCCTCCTTAGTCGCAGGTAATAATAATAATAATAATAATAATAATWATTATTATTATTATTATTATTATTATTATTATTTATTTATACCCCGCCACCATCTCCCCAAGGGGACTCGGGGTGGCTGACATGAGGCTAAGCCCAGCAATACAATAAAGCAATATATAACAAAACACAGCAGTAAAATATAAAGAAAAGAAAATACAAATACACATCAGTAATATAAAATCGCAACATTTAAAACACGAAAATTAATCACAGTGGGCAGGGCCGGTTTCAATAAATTAAAAATTTAAAAACACTGGGTGAGAGAGCAATGTAATGTATCTGGATAGGGAATCCGAAGGACAAAGTAGAGTTGATTGCATTAGAAGGTAAAAATAAAGTGCTTCCGAGGGCATTTTTGCAGGGTTTGGTCAAGTCAGGAGATTATTATTCATTCATTCATTGAAGGCACACTGGAACAGCCAAGTTTTCAGGCTCTTCCTGAGGATTGCAAGGGTGGGGGCTTGCCTAATATCTCTGGGGAGCGAGTTCCAGAGCCGAGGGGCCACCACAGAGGCCTTCAACTCCCAGAAATCCTAACAGCTAGTAAAACTGGCTAGGATTTGAGAGTTGGAGGCCAAAACACTTGGGGACCCACAGATTGAGAACCACTGCTCGAAGGTCTCTTACACAATGCTCCTATATCCCAGGATCTGATCCCAGATTATCTGTTTATCCCATGTTATCTGGCAGTGGAGACTCATATAATTTAAAGCACATAATCTGGGATCAGATCTTGGGATATAGGGCAGTGTGAAAGGAGTCTAGGAATGACTATATGAATGAATATACTTTATTTATATTCCGCTCTGTCTCCCCAAGTGGACTCAGAACACATACATGGCAAACATTCAGTGCCTTTACACAGACAAAGACAGACAGTACATAGACAGACAGAATCTCTAGCTCCTCCAATACAACTTCCTCTGGAAAGTCATGCTGGAAGTCTGAAAATCCTAGGCAGAACATTTCTTACCAATTTTTTTCTGGTGGATTTTTTAAATTGTATAATTATTATTATTATTATTATTATTATTATTATTATTATTATTATTATCATCATCTTTATTCTCCCCATAGGGACTCAAGGCGGCTAACACACTACATTAGACAAGTTTAAAAGGTGCAATACAAAAGTTTAAAAAAAACAAATAGCAACACTGTGGTACAAGAGATAAACAAATACAGATACTATAACTAACTAACAAAGCAAACACATTACAACATCCTAACAAGCCCTCCTTCCCCACCACCTATGACATTTTAATCGCATCTAAGAATAACACTATGTAATGCTATTTTTGTTCCTAGGTTATAAATGTCATTTCCTAAGGGGTTTTATCATAAAAGGATGGGGAAAGTATATTAACTACCAAAAATTTGTTTTTGCGGGACATGCTGTAGCACGTTTTGCTCTAGTTTTTCAATAAATATCTCATCCAGTCTCAACCAATTCAATATAGTTTGTGGCAGCCATAAAAACAAAGTTTCTGGAGGATAACAACTTTCAAAGTAAGCACCACACGATTAAATAGGAAATAACACTTTGAACCCAGGAACAGAAATTGTGTCAAACTGCTTTGTTCTCTCTAGGAATCTCTCCAATACAACTTCCCCTGGAAAGTCACCCGAAGGACCAAATCCTAGGCAGAATAATCAGATCCACAAAAGTCAAAACCTCAAATGTAAGAGGGGCAGCCATAGGAGCTAGATATCATTTTATGAGGCCCTCCAGATGCTGAACAATAACTCATGTATTTGCTCATAATTTGACATAACTGATGGGAGTTGTGATACAGTGATATCTGGAAGGCTACAGTTTGTCCTGTTTCATCAGGATAGTGGGGTATGAATTTAGATACAAGGCTTGAGGATATCATGTCTGACTTTAAAATGCCCTTTAACCTTTCCCCAACCTCAGAACCCCAAGTGCTGCTGGTTTTCAATTCCCATTATTCCCAGTCCACATGGCAGATAATCAAAAGTGATGGGAGTTGTCGTTCAGTAACATCTAGGGACCCAAACTGGGTAAAAACTAAGAGCACTGACCAAAAAGTAAACAAATTTTGGTGGTCCTCTGTCTATATAGATTCTCATTCTATTGAGTCAACAGCCCTTTGAAGGCAACAATAAGGCTGATGTGACCCTCAATGAAAATTAATTTGACACTCCTGACTTAGGGCAATGTGTCTCAAGCCATCTGTTGTGCCAAGGCCCAGTGCCACATTTTGCCCATATACTTCAATTGTTTCTTTCTCCCCCTTGAAATTCACCATGGACTGACAGCCAATGGCTTGAGGATCACCATTTAGTAGCAAGGCTACTTGGGGTCTTAATCTCCCACTATTTATTCAATTTTGTAGTTAACTTCCTCTTGTCCTGTTGGAAAACCTAAAGATTTCTAGAGAGAACACCTCTCTAGGAAAGCCTAGGTCTTCTGGCGTGACTCTGTGGTCAGCTTCCTCGAGTCATGGAAGACCAAGACATAACTAGAGAGAACACCTCTCTAATAATCTCTGGGTTCTCCATTTCTAGTCGAAGTTGACCATAGAGTCATGCTAGAAATTTCAAGAATTCTAGTCTAAATATTCTAACGTAGACATTTCTAGAGCTAGAAATCTCAGTCTTTGATTACGTGGCTGTTGTGTTTATCTAGTTTCTATAATATGTGGGCATCTTTACAGGAAAAAAATATGAATGTAAATTGGAATTGAATTGAAAATATAGGATCTGTGTAAAAAAAACCCTTGTAAACAGCAAATCATAGCCATTACTATGCAAATATATGGCTGACAGCACATATGCATGTGAATGATGGGGAGAGGGGTTAGTACCATATTCCAGACTACATTACTTTTCTACATAAATCTTAAAGGACACTGGAATCCTTCTGTCTGTCATTTCAATTCTCCTGAAAACAGCTCACTGAAGTCAATCTTTAACAGGGAGTAGTGCAGAGGGCCTAGGGAGTGGTATGAGGCCTAGCAGATATTTTGAAGGGCTTCCCATCCTCTCTACGTAGCAAAAAGGATGATGGTAACGGTGGCTCGTCATTACCTAGAAAGCTAAAAGTAACCCAGCCTAATAGAATCATAGCGTTGGAAAATATCACAAGGACCATCCCATCCAACTCCCTGCCGTGCAGGAGTATAATGAGGCAGGCACTGATGGAGAAAGTCCTCATAGCCACACCTTCAATGGAAATCAAAAAGCTCAGACAGCTGTGTTAATCCATTTCTTTGTGTTCACACACATGCACTTCACATTGCAAGAATGATATCTCACAATTCCGTATTGCTTTTAAGAAAAGCTGTTGCTGCTCTAGCCACTTCTCAGTGAGAACTGAGGCTCACCTCTGAAAACACAGGGAAAATGATAGATAATATCAAAGGATGCTGGAAGGTTGTAGTTGTCTTTCGCTGAAAAATCCCATAACTTGTCTCTTGCATAGCAGTTCCACAACTTTGTAGGTCACAACATTGATTTGTGGCATCTTGTTGGGAGTCAGAGCTGTTAGGCTCAAAAATAACCCTCACTTGGTGTGACTCCACCATAAATATAGCAGAGTGCCAGAAGCATACTTCATAACCATCAGAAACGTAGGTGTGTAGGTATTCAACAGGATGGAACAGGATTGTAGAGACAGAACTTTAGGTTCAAAATATTTATTCAAGAAAAGAAATCCATTCTTGATAGAAAAGGCATTGGATCTAAGTAGCTTACTAAGCTCATCTTCTAGTAAGGTAGAAAGGATAAAAAGTCAAAATATTAATGCAGCTACATTTTGCCTGGAGAATGGCAAAATGTAGCTGCATGAGAGGGCAATGGAGAATGACCACATGGCCAAGCCAGGGCAATAAAAATACCTTTAAAGAGGAAGTTATCTCATCTCTCACAGAGATTCCATTGCTACATCTTCAAAGGGGGAGGAGATAGTGGCAAGCAAAAAAAGTAAAACAAAACCCCTTCTAAGAAAAACAGGAATGTGAGGAAAGGAATCCCTCACTCTAATCCTATATCTAACTCATTGATGACTGGAGACTTGTGCAGTCCAGAGATGAAACCCAACACATCTAATAGCACAAGATGGATTTTGATTCAAGTTTAATATATGCTCTTTGTTGCCAAATATTTATTTCAAGAGATACCATTGCTAGAAGCTATCTGCATGGATCCAGTGAGAAGGAAGTTCCTTGCTTTTGTCACATGTAAAAACCCATGCATGGCAACTTTGGTTTTGCAGTACATTAGATCTGTCATGTTTTTTTCAAAAAATGTGGAACAAAATCTATAGCTAGGAGTCCCTCCCCCCCTCCCCCAAATTTCATACTGTGCTCCCCAGTTCATTACAGGCATACCACTGTTTTGTCCACTATAATGCCATATTTGACTCTTGTTTGTCCCTAGTAATTTCCCTTTGGTCCCTTTGCAAAGTCCAGTGTGTACAATAAATCTTGCCTACATTGGGAGTAGCAGCAGGGATTGTCAGAATTAAGGCACTATGTAATAAGATCTGAAAAAAAGTTTGAAAGTGTTATTTCCTTTTAAAATGTGTAGTACTTACTTTGAAAGTAGTTGTTATATTCCAGAAACTTCATTTTTGTGGCTGCCACCAACTATGTTGAATTAGTTGAGACTCAGATAAGATATTCATTGAAAAACTAGAACAAAATGTGCTGCAGGATGCCCCACAGCAACAAAGTTTTTGCAGTTTAATAAACCTTTTCTGTGTTTTTATGATAGACCCAATTAGAAAATGACCTTTATAACCAATGAACAAAAATCATGTTATGTCCTGAGTTGCCCTTCAAAAACAGCCTTTAGACAATGGTGGGAAAAAAAAGAAAAATGCTTTACTTCAGCAAACACAAAGGATAAGCAAATGCAATTGAAAAGTGCAAAAGAAAACAAGGAGGTCTTAATCCAGACACAAATTAAAGTCTCTTACAAAGTCCCAAAAGATACACCAGTCTTCCATTAGACAACGGGCAATGAACTACGTCCTTAGCAGCAGACACAAAGCAGATTCCATTGGAGTGAAAACATCAGTATCAGGGCCATTGTTACCAGCGAAAGTTGACTGCGCCTGCTTCTGATTTATAACCCTGAATTCCCCACATAGTAGGTGCTAGGGCGTCTCCCAATTAGCTCAGCGTTTTTAACAGCTATCCTAGCTGAACGCCATCTGTGCTCTGTCTCTTTTTGTCTCTCTAGAAATGTGGGCACTTTCAAACCCTCATCATCTGATTCTTCTCCGTCCAATTCCTGAGCACTTCCCTGCTCCCATTCCTCTTCCGAAGATGAGGAATCTCTAACATGTTATTAGTCTGAAGCTGCTTAACTGCTTCTGACTATCTGAAACGTATTGGGCCAGGAATCTGCCCTCTAAACTATGACACCCGTTTGTTTTCTTTTCCAGTGACAATAATGCTTAATTAGTTAATTAATTAACACCCATGCCCAGTTTCACCCAGAACAGGAACTCAGTCCTGCTTTAGCTTCCAATTTAATTCAATTAGCTTAATAGTATCAAAGCAAGTGCTCTAACCCCTTTCCCTGAAATTGATAGGATTTCTAAGGGCTTGTTGAGTGACTCTGTGCTTGGCTTTCATGTTCCAGAACAGCTTTGATTCCAAGGAAGGAGGCAGTTCTGCGCATGCAGGGATCACTCAGGCAGCCGCTTACTACCCCTACGACCACACGCTGAGCCAGTACCAATACGACAGGTAAGGCCCTCCACAGCAATGGGTTCTTGAGAGGCCCCACTCAGGAGAGGAGAGGGTTTCTGCTTTTGACTCCTGGAGTGCATCTACCCTGTGCAATGAATGCAGTTTGACCCCCGCTTCAATGACCAAGGGTCCATGCTGTGGGAATCATGGGAGTTGTTATTTGTACAAGGTCTTGAGCCTTCTCTCTGCTAAAAATATAGGACAGGAAGCCATAGCATGACAGTTAAAATGCAAATTCTACGGTGTAAATAAGCCATGGGCAAACCGGCCCTCCAGGTGTTTTGGACTTCAACTCCCAGTTTACCATCTGTTGGGAATTGTGGAATAGAAATATAGAATCATAGAGTTGGAAGAGACCTCATGGGCTATTCAGTACAAACCCCTGCCAAGAAGCTGGAAAATTTATTCAAAGCACCCCGACAGATGGCCATCCAGCCTCTATTTAAAAGCTTCCAAAGAAGGAGCCTCTACCACACTCCGCGGCAGAGAGTTCCACTGCTGAACAGCTCTCACAGTCAGGAAGTTCTTCCTAATGTTCAGATGGAATCTCCTTTCATGCAGTTTGAAACCGTTGCCTAGTCTCCAGAGCAGCAGAAAACAAGTTAGCTCCCTCCTCCCTATGACTTCCCCTCACATATTTATACATGGCTATCATGTCTGGATGGCATCCTTGAAGTGATTGGCTTGACCTTGAAGGAGCTGGGGGTGGTGACGGCCAACAGGGAGCTCTGGCGTGGGCTGGTCCATGAGGTCACAAAGAGCCGGAAGCGACTGAATGAATGGACAGCAACATCATATCTCCTCTCAGCCTTCTCTTCTGCAGGCTAAACATGCCCAGCTCTTTAAGCTGCTCCTCATAGGGCTTGTTCTCCAGACCCTTGATCATTTTAGTCACCCTCCTCTGGACACATTCCAGCATGTCAATATCTCTTTTCAATTATGGTGCCCAGAATTGGACACAATATTCCAGATGTGGTCTAACCAAGGCAGAATAGAGGAGTAGCATGACTTCTTCCCTGGATCCAGACACTATACTCCTATTGATGCAGGCCAGAATCCCATTGACATTTTTGCCGCAGCATCTCATTGTTGGGTCATGTTTAACTTGAAATCCTAAACATCTAGAGCAGGCATGGGCCACTAGGCTGTTAGGAATTGTGGGAATTGAAGTCTAGAACAACTGGAAGGCAGAAGTTTGCCCATGCCTGGTGTAGATACACCCCTGGCTTTGTGCATCTGGGCATGCCTTGAAGGAAGCATAGCGATCACACAGAAATCGTGGCTGAAGAAGAGAAAGTGTGCAGTGGAGATGGACAGGATCCAAATGGGAGTAGAATACTGCTTGTGTAAAGCCACAAGCAGTCAAATTGTCAGTGAAATCAATTACCGAACTGTCAGTGGTTAGGACAAAGATTATTCCACACCCCCACACCACCCAGAAATGGCAATAACATGCTATGTCACGATGAAATGAACTGGGTGTTTGCACTGATACAGAGCTTGTTTACACCTCCTGGAACAGCAAAGGCGGAACTTCCTTCCAACCTTTGATCCATCAGCAGGGTTTGCTTTCTAGCCCATAGACTGGAAAAGTTGCCTTTTTTAATGGTTCCCGCCCACTTCCAGGTCATGTAACTTTCCCAACTTGTCAATTCACGGCTATAACAGGGATCCTCAAACTTTTCAAACAGAGGGCCAGGTCACAGTCCCTCAAACTGTTGGAAGTTTGGATTATAATTTGGGGGGAAAATGAATGAATTCCTATGCATACTGCACATATCTTATTTGCAGTGCAAAAAAACCCCACTTAAGAACAATACAATAATTAAAATGAAGAACAATTCTAACAAATATAAAGTATTTCAATGGTAAGTGTGGGCCTACTTTTGGCTGATAGGATTGTTGTTGTTGTTGTGTGCTTTCAAGACTTAGGTTGACCCTGAGCAAGAGTCGAGTAAATGACCTTGGAGGGCTCTATTCGGTTCTCAGGCCTTAGGTTGAGGACCCCTGGGCTATAATGTTTCCGAAAGTAATTAAAATAAGAGATTGGTCCCATCAGGCATGTAGCGGGGGGGGGGGGGGGGGCTTGAGGGGGTTCAGCCCCCCCCCCCAATTCTCATGGTGGTTGCGAAAGGCCTTACTGGTACATTATTTAAACTGTTATGTTTATTCATATCATGATCTGATCACCATGCTCAATATATCCCATATGCATGGGGGTATTGGGGTAACGATACAAAAGGTTTGCTAGGGTAGACCCTCTTTCACTCAGACTCAGCCCCACCCCCCGAATCAAACTCAGGCCCTCCCAAAACAAAATCAAAATCCTGGCTACGGGCCTGGGTCCCATGGACCCAAGCTTTTAAACTGAACGGGGACTCGCCATCATTTCAGGTTGAGGAATGGCTGCCCTTAAGAGAGCAGTAGCCCAAGTCAATGGGACCTTTCCCTGCGCATGCGCCTTCTGCTGCAGTGGTCTATGCTGTATCACTTCCCTTCCTTTCAACGACTCCAACACTGAAAACCCCCAGCGGCTCTGTCTTAATTGCATAGAGACGCCCAACGCGCATGCGCCAAATGTGATTGATTGGCAACCGAAGGAAGAGACAAGGCATTCCCTGGTTGGTAGAGTGTTGAGCGTCTGGAAGCGACTCGATCCCGGTTTTAACTCGGCATTTTTTTTTTTTTTGCCAACCATTTAATAATTTTAAAGGATCCTCTTGGCAGCTTGAGCAACAGAGTTAGAGTGCGTCTACACTGCAAAATGAATGCGGTTTGACACCACATGGCTCAATGCTGAGGAGTCCTGGTAGCAGGCCCGTAGCCAGGATTTCATTTCGGGGGGGGGGGTGAGTTTGTTTCGGGGGGGGGCTGAGTCCACGCGGGGGAGGGTCTACCCTAGCAAAACTTTTGTATTGTTACCCCAATACCCCCATGCATATGGGATATATTGAGTAGGGTGATCAGATCATGATATGAATAAACATAACAGTTTAAATAATGCAACAGTAAGGGCTTTTCGCGAACCACCATGAGAATTTCGGGGGGGGGGGCTGAAGCCCCCCAAGCCCCCGCCCCCCCGGCTACATGCCTGCCTGGGAGCTTTTGGTTTTGCAAGTTAGAATCATAGAGTTGGAAGAGACCTCATGGGATATCCAGTTCGACCCCTAGCCAAGAAACAGAAAAAAATTCATTCAAAGCACCCCCTACAGATGGCCATCCATGGAAGAGACCTCATGGGCCATCCAGTCCAACCCCCTGCCAAGAAGCAGGACAAATGCATTCAAAGCACCCCCGACAGATGGCCATCCAGCCTCTGTTTAAAAGCTTCCAAAGAAGGAGCTTCCACCACACTCCGGGGCAGAGAGTTCCACTGCTGAACGTCTCTCACAGTCAGGAAGTTCTTCCTAATGTCCTTTCTTGTAGTTTGAAGTTCTGTAGCCTTTTCTTTGCCCAATAATAGTGGTGCTTCACCAAACTACACATCCCAGTATTCTGCCTGCTTTTATTCCCTCCATCCTCACCCATCATGTTAAAAAAATGCTTTGGAGTGATGTTATTTTGTAAAGCCAAGAATCCCGCTTACACTATTCCAGCCTTTTAAGCCCGGTGGGTGTTGCTGACCTTTCCTTGGATGATGTGCATTAAATATTCAGGTGTAGCCCAATGTCTTGTGCGTTTAAAACAAAACTCTAGAAGAAAAGGGTAGGTGAGACATTTACTATTAATCATAGAAATGTATATGTTTATTAACGAGCTTGCTTGGGTGTGTTCTATGGGAGAGAGGCTGCATTTTCCCTCGAGGTTCCCATCTTACCAAAGGGAGACCCTCTTGCAATCCGATGCACAGAAGCATACAATAAGTGAGCTTCACTGAACACTGTTCAAGATGAACACGGATGCTCCTTAAGCCTCCCACACTGTGCTCTTTTCCTGGGCAAACCCCAGAGATGCCTCACTTCTGAGGAAACATGGAGGGCGTCTGTCTGCATCCTTTGCCGTTTTTAGTGCCCTTTTTAGAGCGTTTTTAGTGCAAATACATTGTGAACCAAGGCCCTGCCATAAAATGCAGTTTAACTGCATTGAGCTGCATTATATGGCAATATAGCCTCTTATAATAATAATAATAATAATAATAATAATAATAATAATAATAATAATAATAATAATATAAAACTTTATTTATATTCCACTCTGTCTCCCACAAGGGACTCAGGGCGGATCATGGAGTTCAATGCAGTCAAACTGCATTATATGACAATACAGATGGGGCCTAAATCCCAGTCTACATTTTTGGGAACTAAGGGTGTGTCTGTGCTGTAGTTTGGCACCACTTCAGCCCTGCCTCAGTGCTCTAGCATCTGGGAGTTGTAGTTCCTTTCCTTCCTTTCTCCCGCTCTGCCAAAAGAGCTTTGGTGCTTCAACAAACTACAAATCCCAGGATTCCACATCATGGAGCCATGGCGATTCTGTTAAGAAAATCCCTAAACCTAACCCCCCCCCCAAAAAAAAAAAGAGCAGAGTACTTAAAAATACAAAAATAATACTTAGGCCCATTCTACATCGCCATATAATCCAGATTATCAAAGCAAATTATTCAGATTATCTACTTTTTGCTAGTATAGGAGTACCCTTAGTTGGGCCCTTCCACTCAGTTCTATATCCCAGAATATCAAGGCAGAAAATCCCACAATATCTGCTTTGAACTAGATTATCTGAATCCACACTGCCATATAATCCAATTCAAAGCAGATAATCTGGATTTTATATAGCATCCATTTGATAGTATAGAGGTACCCTTAGTTGGGCCCTTCCACTCAGTCCTGTATCCCAGAATATCAAGGCAGATAATCCACAATATCTGCTTTGAACTGGATTGTCTCAGTCCACACTGCCATATAATCCAGTTCAAAGCAGACAATCTGGATTTTATATAGCATCCATTTGATAGTATAGGAGTACCCCTATATCCCAGAATATCGAGGCAGAAAAACCCACAATATCTTCTTTGAACTGGATTGTCTGAGTCCACACTGCCATATAATCCAGTTCAAAGCAGATAATCTGGATTTTATATGGCATCTTTTTGATAGTATAGGGGTACCCTTAGTTGGTCCCTTCCACTCAGTCCTATATCCCAGAATATCAAGGCAGATAATCCCACAATATCTGTTTTGAACTGGGTTATCTGAGTCCACACTCAGATAATGATATTCTGGGATATAGGGCTGTGTGGAAGGGCCCCCAATAAGTGTGCACCGTGCAGAGGAATACAACCCCAACTACAAGCATGTCTTCTATACTATGGACAGAATGCAGTTGGAAACCACTTGAATTCCCTGGGAATTGAAGGGAATTATGGGAGTTGTAGTTTTACAAGGTCTTGAACCTTCTCTGCCCTTGTTCCTCGACAAACTATAACTCAGATTATTCCATAGCAGTGAGCCAAAGCAGTTTAAGTGGTGTACCCTGCTCATCTGCATTCATTCCAGAGTGTAGATGCATTCTTTGAAGACCTCTAGAGAATTCTGGGAGTTGTACTCCCCAAAAGGCAACATCCCCCAGCCGTGGATGTATTAATAACGCCTCTGGTTCTTGTAGATACGGCACCATGGACGGCAGCACCCGGAGGAAGAACGCCACCCGAGAGACGACCAGCACCTTGAAGGCCTGGCTGCAGGAGCACCGCAAGAACCCCTACCCGACCAAAGGCGAGAAGATCATGCTGGCCATCATCACCAAGATGACCCTCACCCAGGTCTCCACCTGGTTCGCCAACGCCCGCCGCCGCCTCAAGAAGGAGAACAAGATGACTTGGCCCCCGAGGAACAAGTGCGCCGACGAGAAGCGGCCCTACGAGGAGGAGGAAGAGGAGGAGGACGACGGGGAGGGCCAAGGAGGAGGAGGCCTCAAGAGCGAGAAGATGGCGGGTAGGTCCCTCAAGTCCTTCTCTCCTCGGGGTGAAAGCATGAGTCGCCTCTCAGTCATAGGGAGGAGGGAGCAAGCTTGTTTTCTGCTTCCCTGGAGACTAGGATGCTGAACCATGGCTTCAAACTTCAAGAAAGGAGATTCCATCTGAACATTAGGAAGAACTTCCTGACTGTGAGAGCTGTTCAGCAGTGGAACTCTCTGCCCTGGAGTGTGGTGGAGGCTCCTTCTTTGGAAGCTTTTAAACAGAGGCTGGATGGCCATCTGTTGGGGGTGCATTGAATACAAATTTACTGCTTCTTGGCAGGGAGTTGGACTAGATGGCTTATGAGGTCTCTTCCAACTCTATGATTCAATGATTCTAAGATGGTTTTCCTGTCTTGGCATTAAAGTAGGATTTACTCCCGAGGTGGCACTCATCTCAAATGGTTGTCAATCTGGATCCATTCTGCAAAGCAGGTGTACCCAAAGGCTGGACCAACACTGTCAAACAATGCAGTTTGAATTGGATTATATGGTTAGTGTAGACCAGGCATGGGCAAACTTCAGCCCTCCAGATGTTTAGGATATAACAGGTTGTTAGGAATGGTGGAAGTTGAAGTCTAAAACACCTGAAGGGCCGAAGTTTGCCCATGCCTGGTGTACACCCATGTGGTAGAGGCTCCTTCTTTGGAAGCTTTTAAACAGAGGCTGGATGGCCATCTGTCGGGGGTGCTTTGAATGCTATTTTCCGGTTTCTTGGCAGGGTGTTGGACTGGATGGCCCATGAGGTCTCTTTCAACTCTATGGATTCTATCATTTATTAGATCTCGACTCATACTGGGCTATGATGATGTAAGGCAGTTTGAACTGGGTCTGTTCTGAGCATACAATGCAGATCAAACTGATCAGTCTATTCATAGCCTGGACTAAGCAAACTTCTAGTATCTCTTGAGGATTCTTGGGAAAATACCTTCTTCTTCTTTTTTTCTTTTTTCTTTTTTTTGCAATCTTCTCTCGTGCCAATGTGAAAATGGGGTCTGTATTAAGAACTAGTATCTGTGTATCCGCCATGCGTTGCTATGGCCAACCTTCCCTCCCTCTTTCTCTCCTTTCTTTCTCTCCTTCCTTCCTTCCTTCCTTCCTTCCTTCCTTCCTTCCTTCCTTCCTTCCTTCCTTCCTTCTCTTCCTCTTTCCTTTCCTCCCCCCTTTTCTTTCCCTTCGCCTTTCTCTCCTCCTTTCTCTCCTTCCTTCCCTCTTTCTTTCCTTCTTTCCTTTTTTTCTTTCATTCTCTCCTTCCTTTTCTTCCCTACCTTCTCCCCTTTTCTTTCTCTTCCTCTTTCCCTCCTTTTTTCCTTCTCTGCCTATTCTTGGACTGCAACTCCCAGATCAATCTATCTACCTACCTACCTATTTTATCTCTCTGTGGGATTGCTGGGAGTTGCAGTCCAGGAAAAGGAAATTGGAAATATGCAGGGATTGAGATGTCCACAAAGAAATCCAAGGAGAAGAAAGCTTGCAGTTTGGAAGCAATGCATTTGGATCATCCTCCTCTCCTAAAGGGCCAGATTTAGGGGATTCTAGGAGTTGTAGTCCAGAAGAGAGTGCAGAGGTGCTATTGTGTGTTTTGTTTGCTGGTGGAGTCGTTTTTACACATGTGCTGTAGCATCTTTTTGCTTTTTTGGCTTTTTAAATCTCTTCTGGTGTGTTTTTCAGTATTTTTATGAGTGACCGGTCACTTGTTGGTCTGATAGGTGTATTGTGTCCAAATTTGGTGTCAATTCGTCCAGTGGTTTTTGAGTTATGTTAATCCCACAACTGGACTGACCTTGAAGGAGCTGGGGGTGGTGACGGCCGACAGGGAGCTCTGGCATGGGCTGGTCCATGAGGTCACGAAGAGTCGGAGACGACTGAACGAATGAACAACAACAATCCCACAAACGAACGTTACATTTTTTATTTATATAGATAGATGAGAAGGGTAGATCCAGTCGGTTAATATGAATGACTACTAGTGAGCTAATTGCGTGCATTCAATAAGTGTGTTCATTCATTCATTCCCTCCGCAGACCCTGGGAGCAAGGAGGACAAGGAGCTGGGCCTGAGCGACCTGGACGACTACGACCCGCTGGAGTCGGAGGGCTCCGAGGGCGAGCTGAAGGCGCCTCCTCCTTTCGGGCCCGTGGCGGAGCCTTGCAAGGAGCCCCCCTCCTCCCTGGGCGCCGGGGCCAAGGGTTGCCTCAAGGACCCCGCCGAGAGCTGCGAGGCCAAGCCGTGCTACCAGCAGCAGCTCCTGGAGCCGGGCAGCAAGCCGCGCATCTGGTCCCTGGCGCACACGGCCACCTCGCTCAACCAGGCGGAGTTCCCCTCCTGCATGCTGAAGCGCCAGCAGGGGGCGCCCTCTTCCTCGTCCTCTTCTTCCTCCTCGTCCTCCTCTTCCTCTTCGGCCGGCCCCGCTGCCCCTCCGCCCCCCAAGGACTCCCCCGTGGCCAACCTCAGGAACTGGGTGGACGGCGTCTTCCACGACCCGCTCTTCCGGCACAGTACTTTGAACCAGGCCTTGAGCAACACCGCCGTGTCTTGGGCCACCTCCAAGGGCGCCCTCCTGGAGAGCGGGGCCTTGGGGCGCTCCGCCGCCGCCGCCGCCGTGCTCAAGGGCCTGGCGGGGCCCCAGGACCCCGGCAAGGACTTCCTGGCCTTTCCCAAAGCCGGCAGCAAGATGTTCTGCTCCTAACGGACCGCCTCCTCTTCCTCCACTTCCTCTTCGGGATGATGGGGTACGGGGAGATAGGGGGGATCCACACAAACTTGGCTTCCAACTAGAGACCTTTTTTCCAGTGGCCACGTTTGAGGACAGAAAGATAAAAGAGACTTCCTTTCCCCACACACACACACTTGGCTTAAGGGATCAACGTCTTCACTGTTATTTAAGTCCAGAGCACGTTCCTCCTTGAGAGCAGGCGCCCACTTCCGGTTTACTTTGGGCAAGTTGTTTACAAGGCGCCACATTCGGATTCAGCGCCCTAAAGGGAGAGGAGGGTGTTGGGACCTGCTTTTCTTTATTGATTTGTGGCATGCCAAATTTATGTTGTCTCCTCTCCTCCAAAACAACAACAGGACTTTCCTCCTCCTCGGGCTTTTCTTTTCTCCCCCTTTTCCCCATTGTTCCCATTCCAAACAGAAAAACAAAACAAAACCGCACTTCTTCCACCGACTTTTGGCACCCTCGCGCGCACGCACACGAACAAACACGGCATTTGAACTTGGCCAAATAAGCTATGTCGTAAAAAAAGGTTATGTTCACTCCGAATAAATGGTTTGTCTCGCAGAGGTTGGCCTCGGGTTTGTGGTCTGGTGGCATTCCGCCTCCAAAGCGGAAGGAGGAGAAAGAAGCATTCATTGGGGTGGGTCACTTCATCCAACATCAATTATAGGTGCTTGAAAGACACTTCTAGTAGGCCTATTGAGAGGTAAGTCGAGTTGAGTTGATCCTGGTAAGTCGGTATTGAAGTGGGGGCTACAACAGAGGTACAGTACTTAAGTGATCCCTTCTTGTCCGAGTAGGATTGTAGTCCAAATCAGTCTACTGACATAGGTGACTGTGGAACCCTATTCTTGATCATGTTCTCCCGCAGTGAGGGCATTAGTTTCCAGGTGGTTCCTCTTGGCACCACTCTCTCTTTCGCCCTCCATTTGTGCTTCTTCAAATTCTACAGCACTGCTGGTCACAGCTGACTTCCAGCTGGAGCACTCAAGGGCCAGGGCTTCCCAGTTCTCGGTGTCTATGCCAGAGTTTTTAAGGTTGGCTTTGAACCCATCTTTAAATCTCTTTTCCTGCCCACCAACATTCCTGGAGAAGTACGGTATTTATCAATAAATGCAGGTAATTTTGACTCTGGAGACTAGGGTTCGAATGGGCTCTGCTGTGGAAACCTTAGGCGAGTCACTTTCAGCGAAGACATCTCTCCAAGAAAGCTGAAGACACAGGAAGACCCCAACCTTGAAAAGCTGTTGGACACCAGAGTATTGAAGAAGAAGAAGAAGAAGAAGAAGAGGAAAAAGAGGAAGAAGAAAGAAAAAGAAGAAGAAGAGGAAAAGGGGGAAAGAATAAGAAGAGGAAAAGGGGGGAAAGAAGAAGAGGAAAAATAGGAAGAAGAAAGAAAAAGAAGAAGAGGAAAAGGGGGGAAAGAATAAGAAGAAGAAGAGGAAAAAGAGGAAGAAGAAAGGAGAAGAAGAAGAAGAGGAAAAGGGGGGAAAGAAGAAGAAGGAAGAAGAAGAAGGGGGAAGGGGAAAAAGAAAGAAAGAAAGAAAGAAAGAAAGAAAGAAAGAAAGAAAGAAAGAAAGAAAGAAAGAAAGAAAGAAAGAAAGAGAAGGAGAAGAAGTACTACTACTACTACTACTATATTTTTCTACCCGGTCTCCACCTCTCTTCGGGGAGGCCTACATGGCACCAAGCCCAAGACAAAATACAATTAAAAACAAAACAATAACAAATTTAAACAGCATAAAACAGCAGTAGGCGCCTCTGTGGAGCAATGGGTTAAACTTTGTGCCCACAGGACTGAAGACTACAGGTCGCAGGTTCGAATCCGGGGAGAACGCGCATGAGCTCCCTCTGTCAGCTCCAGCTCCCCATGCGGGGACATGAGAGAAGCCTCTCACAAGAATCGTAAAAATATCATCAAAACATCCCTGCGTCCCCTGAGCAATGTCCTTGCAGATGAGTAATTCTCCCATACCAGAAGCGACTTGCAATTTCTCAAGCCGCTCCCTGACACAAATTAAAACCGGAGTACAGGTCGAAAGAGGAGAACCAACAGGAGTCTTTAGGAGAATTTGCCCTTGGAGAAGATCCAAGATGTAAGGCTGTTGACACTGAGGATGGAGATGCCAGCCATGAGAAGCTGCACTAAACAATCTAGTGTCTCTTGAGGCTTCTTGGGAAAACATGTTTTGCAGCTTTCTCTATTGTCAATATGAAAATAGGGTCTGTACCTCCAAGAGAAAGTGCCTCTTGAGCAAACTACCTTCCTCCCTCAGAAGCCACCCACACTGAATGTTTTTGTACTTTTGGCTAGACACAATTGCCGCTTGTGTTTGGCCACGATTCATTCCATGAGTCATCGGATCAGTAAATAGGAAAACACAAATAGGGTCAATGAGGTGATACTTGATTACCAGGGGAAATATCTGCATAGGACCCTGTTGCATGAATCAGGCCTGCCTTCCATGATAGCCGAGGTGATGACAGCGCTCCAATTGCCCATTTACATTATTCAAAGGAGGAGGGAGAGGGCAAAAGGAACGGTAGACGGGAGAAGCGTTGGTTGTCTTTGGAAATTAAGTTGTTGGGACGTGAAGCCACCGGGGAAGCCCTGCTGTCCCCCTGGAGGCTCTTTGGAAGCCCACCCCCCTCCCTCCGCCGCCCCTCTTTAATGTGTGCAAAGCAATTGATTCACATGGAACATTTGACGTTTTAAACTCCCGTTTTAACTCCGAGCTCCTCCGCTGGCGAGGAGAGCGAATCGTTGGATTCTCTATGAATATTTCAGCGCGTCAGGATGGATGCGTTACTGTTCTGACATTCAAGAGAAAGCGCAGCCGGGAGAGAGAGGAAAAAGGGAAGGGGGTTGTGGCCACCTTCGCCGCCCCCCCCCCCCCCCCCCCCATTCGTGAAAAGACCAATTTGGCAAACTTTTCCCGGATGGAAAAGTAGGAGAATAGACTACAAAGGCTGGCTTCAAAAACCAGAAGCGAAGGGAGGGGAGTAACACACGTGTGAATGGGTTGGACGGTCTCCCAAGCAAGGACGGTCGCCGCTCTCCCAAGCAAATATTAAACAGTGTGAAATCCCTTCCCTTCCTTTCCCATAGTGTGCACTGGAAAAGCGAGTAATAAATAACATTTTAGTATTATACTAGCTGTAACCGCCACGCATTGCTGTGGCCAGCCTTCCCTCCGTTTCACTCCTTTCCTTCTCTCCTTCCTTCCTTCCCTCTTTCCTTCCTTCCTTTCTTCCCTTTTTTCTTTCCTTCTCTCTTTCCTTCCTTCCTTCTCTACCTCTTTTATTCCTTCCCCTCTCCTTTTTCTTTCTCTCCCTTCTTTCTCTCCTTCCTTCCCTTTTTTTCTTTCCTTCTCTTTCTTTTCTTCCTTCCTTCTCTACCTCTTTTATTCCTTCCCCTCTCCTTTTTCTTTCTCTCCTTTCCTCCTTTTTTCTTCCTTCTCTCTTCCTTCTCCTTCTACTCTCTTTCCTTCCTTTTTTCCCTCCCTTCTTCTCTCCTTCCTTCCTCCCCTCTTTCCTTGAAAGGAAGGAGGAAGGAAGGAAGGAAGGAAGGAAGGAAGGAAGAAAAGTAAGGAAGAAGGGAAGGAAGGGAAGGAAGGAAGGGAAGGAAGAAAGGAGAGAAAAAGAAAAAGGAGGGGAAGGAAGGAAAGAAGATAGAGAAGGAAGGAAAGAGAGAAGGAAAGAAAAAAGGGAATAGAAGAAGTAGAGAATTAAAGGAGGCTCTTTCCTTCCTTCCCTTTTTCTTTCCTTCCTTCTTTCCTTCTCTACCTCTTCTATTCCTTCCTCCCTTCCTTTCTTCTTCCCTCCTCTCTCCTTCCCTTTTTCCTTCTTCTCTTTCTTTCTGCCTATTTTCTCCCTTATGTAAATCTAGTCCTTGTGCATAGGCTAAATCTGGTATCTCTCCTGTTCCTTCCTTCCTTCCTTCCTTCCTTCCTTCCTTCTTCCTTCCCCCCCCTCCCTTTTTCTTTCTCTCCTTCCTTCCCTCCCTTTTTCTTTCTCCTCTTTCTTCCTTCTCTACCTATTCTTGGACTGTAACTCCCAGCAATCCTCCTGATTGATTGATCTATCTACCTACTAACTATCTCTATATGATTTATCTATCTTATCTATCTGGAGGATTGTTAGTAGTTGCCGTCTAGGAATAAGAAATATGTATGGATTTGGATGCTCTCAAAGAAATCCAAGGAGAAGCAAGCTTGCACTTGGAAGCAGTGCATTTGGAGCATCCTCCTCCCCTAAAGGGTCTGGTCTAGGGGATACTGAGTGGGAGATATCACTTTTGAACATGCGTTGGATCATCATTTAGCTTTTTGGGTTTTTAAGTCGGGTGTAGTGTCCAAATTTCGTGTCAATTCGTCCAGTGGTTTTTTAGTTATTTTAATCCCACAAACTAACATTACATGTTTATTTATATAGATAGAGCCCCCCCCCCCCCGGTAGTGCAGTGGGTTAAACCTTGCTGACTGAAAGGTCGCGGGCTGAAATCCAGGTGAGCTCCCGCTGTTAGCTCCAGCTTCTGCCAACCTAGCAATTCGAAAACATGCAAATGTCAATAGATCAATATGTACCGCTGGGGAACTCAGATTCCTCGGCTTAGAAATGGAGATGAGCACCAACCCCTGGAATCGGACTTAATGCCATGGGAAGCCTTTACCTTTTACCTATTATATTATTATTATATGAAAAACTATGAGCAAAACTCACGAAGTGGTTTTTTTTTTAGCCCTGGGCTAATACACCCCAGGAGGGGCAATATGTCTTCTAAATAGGTTGCACTGTTCGTTGTTTGTTCGTTCAGTCGCTTCCGACTCTTCTTGACCTCATGGACCAGCCCACGCCAGAGCTCCCTGTCGGCCGTCACCACCCCCAGCTCCTTCAGAGTCAAACCAGTCACTGCACTGTTTAACTTTCTAAAATAACTCCCCTTTTGTATTGTCGAAGACTTTCTCGGTGGGCATCACTGTATAACCGTGTTCTATTATAGCAGCATTTTCTTCTGACGTTTCGCCTGCGTTTGGGCTGACATCTTCAGAGGAACTCCCCCTT